TCTTTAAAACAGCTCTTTGAGGTGGCTTTTATAAATATTTATTGCAACCATATACCAGATACTAAGATAGATACCAAAACATTGCTGATCTTATATTTGGTACTAAGAACAGAAATTAATTTAGGATATATACTAAAAATTGAGAAGTCAGTCACTACCTTTTGAATGGGTCTGTACTCCTATAAGAGAGCCATTGTAGATTATAATGTTTAGTTTAAAAGTACCCTAGAAGCCAAAACTGGTTTGGCTCAATGGATAGAGTATCGGCCTGCAGACTGAAAGGTCCTGGGTTCGATTCCGGTCAAGGGCACGTACCTTGGTTGCGGGCACATCCCCGGTAGGGGTGTGCAAGAGGCAGCTGATCAATGATTCTCTCACATCGATGTTTCTAGTTCTCTATCCCTCTCCCTTCTTCTCTGTAAAAAATCAATAAAATATATTTAAAAAGAAAAAGAAAAAGTACCCTAGAAAATAATACTTCAGTAGTGTGTTCACCAGTAGTTTCATGGGGATTGTGTTTCTGGAGCCCGGCCACAGGTCAATGTTCAGTATTGAGAAAGGGGAGAGTAAAAGGGCTGTGGGAACGATTCCCCTTAGGAAACTTTTCAAGAAATCTCCTAGTAGCTTCTGCCTGGAGCTGCCGAAGAGGATGGTCCATGTGTCCTCTTAGCACACCAGGCAGGCAGCCAGCAGCTTCTGCCACTGAAGCAGGTGTGGAACAGGTCCAGGGCCCCCTGATAGATGTTTGTAGTTTCCTGCGGGTTTTGAGGTATCACCTCTGAGTAATTTTAGAAATTTTTCTATAATGGCCACAGCTACAAAGAAGATTTGAAGACTGAATTCTAGTGGACTGACATTGAGCTGTAAGAGATAACAATGACTAAATTGTCTTTGGGTTAGGAGATTTAGTGTGGTTTTTCTGTAGCTATCTTAGCTGCGAAATGCCTTTGAGGTTTTGATATGTGGGAAGAGTGAACTTCCTCATTTTGGTTTTTGAGGAGAAATGATAAAAACTTTTTGTGGACTTAATTCTGTGAAACTAAAGAATTGAGTGTGTGCATATGGGAAGTAATAGATTTAAAAAAAAATGACCTGGTGTTTGGATTTGAGGCTGATAGTACCTAATAGTGAAAGTGTTTTGTCCCTACCATATATGCAGTTTCTTAAAGTGATGAAAACTATTTGTAATGTTTGTATTGAATAAAGTAATCCAAATGCTTTTATTTAGCCACTGTTTACATTTCTAAAAGGACACTTGGTTGTTTTAAATGTGTTCTGTTAACAAATCTAGGGTATCCACTACAGGGGTAAAATATTACTTCTTGGAATGATGATTTTTGATGTCTTTTTGTAGGGAATGTAGATTTTAAATGACAAGGTCATAGCCAAATATTTATAAAAACTTGATTTGATTAATTCCACACATATTTATTGAATGCTTGCCATAAGCAAACACTGTTCTGGTAATGGAGATCAGGCAGTGAAGAGGTGAGCCCTTTCTGTTTCTGGAAGTTGGTAGGTTCCATCCTAGGTGGAGACAGATTCCAGTCCATTGATACTTGACCCCGAAGAATGTAGGGCGTAGGGGAACAGTGTGTGCTGGCTTTGGACAGGGAGAGGGTGCTGCCTCACTGTCCTGTGGCTTCTGTTGATTGCTGCGATGCCACAGTTCTTCTGGGTCCTATCTCACTGCCTAATCCCCTGCCTCTCCTTGGTGCTTCCTCTCTTTTAGAGGTTTCCACCTGGACACCAGCAGAGAAGGCAGCTGCTGTAGCTTTTCCAGTAGGTCCAGAGGTTAAGATGGTTTTTAGACCTTGCTTTGTCTTTCTGTGCCAAAGGTGTAATCACAGTGCAGAGCCATGCAGTCCTCTGGTGGTTCCAGGAGTCTGAGTGCCTTTAAGTCCCTGCTTGCCTCAACAAAGGGCTAGCAGGGCATGGCCAGTGAGAGGCTTCTAGTCCAGTCAGTTCGCCAGCAGTATCCCTTCATTCCCAGAAGGCAAAGTCAGAATACTCTTACTATGTAATGTTTGTTAGAACAGTTGCAGACTTTGAGACCCAAGTTAATACCTACTTCAGATAAGTGTATTACCAGTGTATTTACCGGTGGAAGATGCCACTGCAGTCAGGAGGCCTGTGTGTCCCACTTGGCACCTTCTTGCTCTGGAAATGTGGGCATGCTGCGCCCCCAACATTAATTTATCCTAAAATGGAAGGAAGGAGTGCTAGACAACCTCTCTTACGTCATGAGCCAATCAACAGACATGTGAGAAAACGGACACTGTCGTGTGGATTGGTAGCGTCTGCAGACAGGCCGCACAGGCTCCCTCATGCCTTTCCTTTTCCTGGTACATCCAGGGTGCTGAGGGCAGGGTAAATGGGAAGCTGAGAAGGGACTGTCTTATGTTGTTATTTCAGATACATACAACTTAAGAAAACAAGTGATAGGACGTTCTACTCAGCAAGTACAGACCTGCATTTGGAATGCCTGTTGACAAGATGATTTACTGTATTTGTGGGGTGTGGATATAATTTTAGCATATTAGCTTTGGTATTCTTCTTCCATGACTCTGGGCCAATTGCTTAATTATTCTAGGCTCATACCTTTATTTTTGTCTCTAAATTTCTATACTACTGTTGTTATCAGACCAGAACTAAGAGGTGTAGGAGAGTATGTGCCCTTAGTGCTTCAAGTGCACTAACTTCTCATCCAGGGTGGCAGCTCGTCCCCCAGCACAGGATGCTCTCAGGAAGAGCCCAGTGCTTCTCCCAGGCAGCTCTTCACAATGATGTCCTACTAACAGGGAAGGAGTCACCTGTGGCTCTTAGCTGGTGTGGCCACTAACCTGCTAACCAGACACATCTAGTGATGCTAACAACATTGCCAAGTTGTTATTATAGGTCACACCTTCAGACTTTAATGTGTCTTCCGAGCTGCTGGAAGAGATGTGGTTGGTGCTCAGTAACATAAAATAATAGAAACTTTATCCTCACTATCTTGGACTTCAATTATATTTTGGAAAATGTAGTGCATTTTAGTGTTACATGACTACCATTTTGTTTTTATTAAAAGACTGATCCTTGCTGGCTGAACTGGCAGCATGCTTCAGTGAAGTTTGCTTTTTTTTGACAAAATTGGATTCCAGTGATGGTCTGAGATTGATGGCCTAACAAGGGTGTTGAGGATTTATTTCCTACTAGAGGATTTATTTCCTCTGCTTTTAGTGGCCTTAAATAGTCTTCAGACCTGCTGCCGAGTGTCAGGAATGACCACTCCAAATGAATTTTGGGAGTAGGGAGGCAATACTTTAGGTAAGAAAGGTGAAGTTGACTAAGCAAGAGCCTATGTAAGATAATATGTAAGATGATATGGTGCTCTTTACCTTTATAACATGACATTAAAGATCCTGTTAAGAAGTATTGCTTGCTGTTATGTGGACTATTTTGTTAGCTTTTCAGCTGACATTATTATTATATTACTAGAGACCTGGTGCACAAAATTTGTGCACAGGGCGGGGGGATTCCCCTGAGCCCAGCCTGCACCTTCTCCAATCTGGGACCCCTCAAGGGGATGTCCGACTGCCTGTTTAGGCCCAATCCTGGCAGTCGGACATCCCTCTCACAATTCTGGACTGCTGGTCTTAATCGCTCACCTGCCTGCTTGCCTGGTCACCCTCACTGCCTCTTCATGTCAGCCTGATTGTTCCTCACTACCTCTGCCTCTGCGGGTCTGCCTGGTCACCCCTCACTGCCCACGCTGTTGGCCTGGTTGCCCCAACTGCACACCCCTCTGCTGGCTTGGTCACCCCTAATTGCCTCCCCCCTCCTCCCCACTCCCTGCTGGCCTGGTTGCCCCATGCAACCTGCTGTTCTAGTTGTTTGGTCCCTCACTAGCTCCCCTGCAGATCTGGTCATAGACAGCCATCTTGTGAGGATGTGATGGTCAATTTGCATATTACCTCTTTATTATATAGGATTATTGAGATAATTTTGTTTTGTCTTTAGTTTTCTAAACAAACTTGGAAGCAAGTGAATCTGATTTGTTATAATTTTTAGGATTGGACCACATCTCCTGTCTCCCTCTCCAACCCCCATCTTCAATTAATCTAAAGGAAATGGAGAATGACCATCTTTCTTCCTACAAAAGAATTTTTTTAGAGCAGGTCTTTTGGCTCTAAAACTTAACTCCACAAACTGTTACTACCCCACAGGACTGGCTTTTTGCCCATAGCTGACAGTGACATAAGTGACTTTTGAGGCAGAGGTGAGATATAAAGTAGCTTTCGGAACTCACTCCTCTCTCCTGAAGACTTTTGTTAGAAAAGAAAGGGCAGGCCATACTTCTTCCCACTTATATTTGGTTGTTGACTTCTTTGCCTCTGAGTCATAAGGAGAGAACACATTAGGAGTGTTGAGATAAATAGGGTTGTTCTTTCTCCAGGGACAGTGTTTCTGTAACAGGTTGGGAAGCACTGGACACTGGATCTAGCATGTTGTCAGTAGTGGGAGGGCAGAGCCTGACTGCTAAGACAACCCTCAGGCCTCCTAAGCACATGTGTCTTTTTTGTCTTTTGTCTTGCTTTGGCCTGTCTTAGACCATCCATGCATAGCATGGGCACCAAAGGTGCCCAATGGACCTCAGAGCACATCAGAACTGGGGTGACTGTTTTTTAAAAAATAACACAGTGACACATAAACCGGAATTATCTTTCATCTTTCATAAATGTAATTCTGTTCCTTAATGTAAGATCACTGAAATGAATTTCATTTTGAATAAGTCTTAAAGTGCCAGTCAAAAGTTTTGGTATATGGTATTGACAAAATTCATTCATGTTAATCTGCGGTGCTATACAATACTGTGTAATTGGAACATCACAGAGTGTTCAGAGGAGAGAAGCTGGTTAGTAAGTAACCAGAAATATAGTGTCACGCAGATCTAATACCAGAGTGTACATGGTTAAGTTTAATTGTAACTCTAGTATGTTTTCTCTTTTGTTTACTAGACTTCATGAGGAAATAATTGACTTCTATAACTTCATGTCCCCTTGTCCTGAAGAAGCAGCCATGAGAAGAGAGGTGGTGAAACGGATTGAAACTGTGGTTAAAGATCTTTGGCCAACAGCTGATGTGCGTATAGTCTTTGTACTTCTTTGTCGCATACAAGTCAACATGACACCCAACATTATAACATTATAACGTGTCAGTCCTGTCAGTGAACACCTATGTTTCCCTTTTTGGCCCAAGGTATGGATTCTCCAGGTGTGGTCCTGGGCCAGGCAGCAGCATCTCACCTGAGAGCTTGTTAGAAATGGCGCCTGCTGAGTCAGACACCTTGAGGAGGGCCAGGGGTCTGTGTTTAACATGCCTTCCTGGAGGTCCTGATGTGTTCAAGTGTGAGGACCACTGGCCTAACCGAAGGTTTTTTGGAATGGGCGATTATTTTTCTTTTAAATTCATCTTAAGGTTAGAAATTTACCCCTTCCCCAACACTCATCGTAGCATAAGTTCATTTTTGTGAAAATTAAAAGTACTTCCTCACCTACCACTTTCACAGAAAATGAACTAGAGTCCATTGAGTTGAGGGCCACTGACATTTCTAGTGCTTAGCGCAGGCAGCATGAACATGTCATCTGACCAAGTTATGATGGTCCACCCACAGGCTTCTGTCCTAATCAGTCAGCCTCCTACTAGTGACCAGGGACCATGACTGGTGGCCCACAGTGATAGAGATGAGCTGGCAGCTGAAGGGCATGTGAGCTCCCAGTGAGCCAGGCAGCAACTCGATTCCTCTCCACTTTTAAAGTGACTTATTACAATATCCTTGGCTTTAACTTTAGTGCCCTGGCATAGTTCCTTGCCTCTGTGTCCCAGCTGTGGGTTTGAAAGTTTTTGGAGAGTTTGAACCAGGCTCTAAAAACTCCTTGGCTTTGGTAGGTGTGGGCAAGGCCAATAATTATTTTGTCTCTTAATTTTGTGTTGGGGAAGGTCTTTAACTTAAAGTTTAACTAGATCTCATTGGGTTGTTTTTGGGTCCTCCCAACGTGCAGGGCAAATTTACATTTTACCCGGAAGTAGTGGGAGGGAGGCCTTACAGTGAGAAGTAATCGAAGGATTACTGACTTGTCACCAATTCCAAGACAATCATTCTTTCTTTCAGGTCCAGATATTTGGCAGCTTTAGTACTGGTCTCTATCTTCCAACTAGGTAAGTGCCGGGTTAGTGTTTATGTTTACTGGGAACGGGGATGGTGCTGTCTCTGTCTATTTTCAGGGCTCATACTAGGTTTCTTCAAGTCTAAGGCTAGAAGTATGAGATAAAGAAAACGACTATAGAGCACAGAGGAGACATAGCAGGAAATAAAATTTAATTTACTATTATGGTAATTGATTGCTTTTTATTTTTTCTTGTATTTAATTTGATGGGGTACGAAAGTGCTGGACACTAGACAATTAAGAAGATGAGTAAGAGGGTAAGGGGAAGAAAATGCAATAGAAAACATTCTGCCTATATTTTTGGATATGTTTTGAAAAATTGATCTTACATTTTAATGAAGATTCAAGCAAATTTTTAATTAAACAATACTTTGTTAAGCTGTTTATTTGACAGAAAATTGTCAAACAAGTTTACATGCTAAAGTCATTCTTCAATGTTTCCCTATCAAGGACTCTTTTAATATCCAAATCAGTTTATGTACATTGTTTCATTTAAAGTCTATTTTTTGTTACTGACCTTTTAGCATTTGGAGACTAAAGAGGCTGTAATCTCAGGGTTTGGGATTGGCGTTGGCAGGGCCAGTGGGGAACTGAATAGTTTCAAGGAGTCCTGGGTCAGAATGAGTGACCCAGTGTAGACAGCACAGAGTAAGGGCCTAGAAATCTCAGAGGGACAGACACTTTATTTCAGTCCCTTATTACCTTGTGATGTTGGGATATTCTGTCAGCCTTTTTGTTTTCAGTCTTTATGTTTCAAATACTACTTCATAAGCTACATTTACTCTCCCTTAGAGGGATATTGGTAATGGGGCTATGTACAGCCTTGAGGGAAATGGGAGTGCAGGTCATGTGCACCAGACTACCCCAGATGTCTGTTACCGCATGGTGAGGTGAGCAGTAGTTTACGGCCATTTTCCTTTTGTTTAGTGACATTGACTTAGTGGTCTTTGGAAAATGGGAGCGACCTCCTCTCCAGCTGTTGGAGCAGGCCCTGAGGAAGCACAACGTGGCTGAGCCGGGCTCCATCAAGGTTCTGGACAAAGCTACAGTAAGTGGAGGTCTGCTCCGATGCCGGGTATTAGCTGTGGTTGTCTGCAGCAGGTATTGGTTAGGTTTTGAAGACTTCTCTACTTTTGGTGTAAATGTGCATCCTAGTTGTCACCAGCTGAGAAATGGTTCAGTAACAATCTGAATCACAAGTTGTGAGAGCATCCGACTGTTCCTGGCACTAAGATACAAGACTGTCGACTTCTCTTAGGGTTTGAGGAAAGGATGTTAGTACCTGAAATGAGACACATTTAGCTGCTGTTCTTTCTGGAGTATGTAATTAAATGATTAAACCATGGCTTTTATTACATAGAAAAAGATTGCTAACTTATACTTCAGAAAGAAATACTTAACCTGTTTCATTCTAAAAGTACACATTTATGAAAAACATCTTATCTTGGGAGGAGGTGGAAGATGAGCCTGATTTTGAAGCATACTTGCCAAGGTTTCTCTAAGTCCAAGATAGAAACAGTGCAGGAGCTGTAAGTTACTTGCCTGTTGTGTGATAATATTTCATTTTTAAATTGTTTCAACCTGTACGAAGCCAGACTAGGTCCTTTTAGTTTTAAAAAAATTGTTAGAAATTAAGCTATATCTTGCTCATGTAGTGGAGCCATTTGCTCATCTGCCTTCTAGCACCATGGGTAAGCTCAGGCCATTTAAAAAAAAAAAAAAAAAAAAAAAATATATATATATATATATATATATATATATATATATATATTATTGATTTTTTACAGAGAGGAAGGGAGATAGAGAGCTAGAAATGTTGATGAGAGAGAAACATCAACCAGCTGCCTCTTGCACACCCCAACTGGGGATGTGCCCACAACCAATGTATATGCCCTTGACCGGAATTGAACCTGGGACCTTTCAGTCCGCAGACCGACGCTCTATCCACTGAGCCAAACCGGCTTCGGCTCAGGCCATTTTTTAAACCACTTACAGGCATTATCTCAGTTAATCCCCCAAGGCATTTTCATTGGCAGGAGCTACTTTTTCCCCCCACATTTGACAGATGAGGAAACTGTGGCACAGAGAGGTTAGGTAATTAATCCAGGGTGGGTTCCAACATCCTTTTCCTCTGCTGCCAGAGGTCCACTGTCACCAGGTGTCCTTAGCATTGGCCCTAGGTGAGCATTTTAGATCAGGTTATGCACTGAAAGTCTGTGTCTGTATTGACTTCTGGACATTTTAAACCTTTAACTAGATCCCATTTGTTTTGGTGAAGGGAATTCAGCCTTTTTAGTCCTTAGAGGCTGAATGAATAAAACATTGCCTTTTCTTTTGGAAAAACACAATTTTGAGGGTGGGAGTGATTTTAATGGCTGTTTGGACATCTTTTATGAGGCCAGTTTAAAAAAATTTTTTTTATTGAGAGGGAAAGAGAGATTATACATCAATGATGAGAGAGAATCATTGATTAGCTGCCTCCTGCACTTCTCCTACTGGGGATCAAGCCCATAACCAAGACGTGTCCTGACCAAGAATCGAACCATGACCTCCTGATTCGTAGGTTGACCTTGATTCATAGAGCCACACTGGCCTGTCTTAAGGCCAGTTTGGAGTGCCTTTTGGCGATAATTTCTATTGATGAGTATTTCCAAAATGGCTTTTTATTCTCTGATTTTTAGTGGGGGAGTATTTTTTTTTTTTTTTTTTTTTTTTTAAGTTTGAAACAGTTAGAATTGTTTGGAGAAACAACATCAGTACAAATTATAATTCTAAAATTGGCTTTCAAGTTCTCTTGAATGTTTTCAGAAATTCTAGCAAACATAATTTGGGGACAGGAGTTCCTCTCAATAATCAGGCACTTGTGGTGGAACTGGTAGGCAGGTATGTGGAGCCTGGGCCTTCCCACCCCTATTTCTCCTTTCCTCAGCACCTGTTCCCCTTTGCCCCATCTTGTTGGCAGAAGCAGATAGTGACCATGATTGATGCTCGATTACTGGCAAGGTGCTGAGTCATGCTAGCAAACCTGGGCAGAGGCGTTGCTGGGGTTGGGGAGGAGAGGTTCTTGGGATCCAGGGACTAGAGATTAACTCTAGCAAAGTCCCTTTTCTTCTCATCTTTAAAATCTTGGGTTTATGATCTCTAAACCCATTTTGTAAATAATTTTTTAAAAGCCTTTCTGTACAACTTTGGGAACATTTTGATGCCTGACTGTAGAGAATGTTGCATATTAAAGCACATTTTTTCAAATTAAACTTTTGCAGGTACCAATAATAAAACTTACAGACCAGGAGACTGAAGTTAAAGTTGACATCAGCTTCAACATGGAGACTGGGGTCCGGGCAGCAGAGTTCATCAAGAATTATATGAAGGTACTGCCATTAGCAAGTTAACACAATAAATCAGGGACTTAGATGATATGTTGGATATTGTTTCTCTTATAAATGTTAACTTTAAACTGATTGTCCATAATAACAGAGCTTGTACAATTGAGTTATTTATCCTCAACTGAAACAAATCTGGAAAACAGCTATGTAGTTTTAATTGCCTGTAGTCTGGGTACTGCCTCTTCCCACAGTTTCTGTTTCCCTTTTCCTTTACATCAAGTCTTGTCTGGGGACTCATTTCTACTGCAGCAGACATGAAAACAACAGAAGTTTCCTCTGTCTCCCACCCCTTCTCCCGCCTCTGCATTTCCTTGTTACCTTCACCCTGCTCTCCCCTTAGGAGTTCTGACCACTCATCCTGTTGTTGTCCCCTGCCTCATGAGCTTTTCCCCCTCCAACATCCTCTGTTTTTCTCTGGTTGCCTCCGAGTGTTGGAGGTTCTTGCATAGGTTCTAGGACCTTTCCTTGATCACACCTGCATAGCAAGCCCTGGGAAAGATTTGAAGGAATGTATTCATTCATCCCCTGAATTTTTCTTTGTGCAAGGTTCCCCATCTTGTCACTTGGGAGGAGCTCCCCAATGGGATGGTAATGAGCCCTTTGAGGATATTTATCTAGAGCTTTCTAAGGGGCAGGAGAATTGAGGAAGCTTCCTTGTCTACTATGTAAAATTTGCTATGTAAGAAGTCTTCAAGGTATATAAACTAACCAGTAAATATTTCTCTTTTGGTATTTACAGAAATATTCATTGCTGCCTTACTTGATTTTAGTATTGAAACAGTTCCTCCTGCAGAGGGACCTGAATGAAGTTTTTACCGGTGGAATTAGCTCATATAGCCTAATTTTAATGGCCATTAGCTTTCTACAGGTGAGTGGGCTTCTTTGCAGTAGGACTAGGTTCTTCCTCGGTGGGTGTTCTGACCAGTTGCTGTGTGGGTACCAGCTGTCCTCTTTTCCCTCCACTACTTTGTTTGGTTTAGAAGAGATTGACTTCTAATTTTCATAATAAAACCCTATTTTGATGAATACTTCTTTCCTACTGTTCTTTATAGCTTATTTTGTAGCTGATTTAACTGTTAGAAGAGGGAGGGCTTATCTGGTTGTCACTTAATTGTATATCAATCTAAACTCAAGGAAATACCTATACATTTAGAAATTTCATACCTTGATATATAATAAAAACATTTTTCTGTGCTTGACTATGATTTATACTGAAAACTATCCCAGAGAAAAGTTTGATACTGTACATGGTAAAAAATATTAAAAAGAGGCTCCCCTCCCCAGATTAACATAACTTCAATATTTTGTTTTGAATTATATATTGACAGAACTTCAGTATTTTGTTCAGTACCATGGGAACGTTTTTCAGTAGAAGACCTACCTAAGGGTTAAATGTTGTGATGTACTGATACACTATATACAAAGTAGTCTCTAAGTTAATTGAAACATTTTATTTATATTTTCTTGGTTCTGTGCTTTACAAAGACTTGCCTATTTATTTTAGCTACACATTTTCTCCAGGTTTATTATTTTGTATTTGTGTTTGTGCTTAGTGAGGGTTTTATGTCCAGAATTTGGTCATTTTCTCATCAGGAAAATTGCTAGTAGTCAGTACAACTCCTAGTTGCACTGCCTTCGGTTATTTTGGCTTCTTTGGGTCTGTGCAGATACAAATAGGGAAAATGGAATTTTTCTACAATTTTAATCCCATTGCATTAACGCTCACTCTCGCCTCCACAATGCTGCCCTGATAGCCCCTCTTCCCTAGTTTTTGGACATGATTTTGAAGTAACATAACAATCTCTTCTTAGCTTACTTTGTCATATATTCTTATATGAACTATTTTAGTAGCCTTGTAATAATGACAACTTCTTACTTTTATTGCCCTTGGCTAAGAGCCTTTTGTCGAATTACCCCATGGGATCCTCGAAGCTCTCCTATGACCTAGGAGCCTTGCCTAGCATGGGTGGGATTGTCTTTGTCATCTCCACATTCTTTAGTGCCTTGCCCTTCCTGCCTCAAAACTGTATTGTAGCACCTGAGTTCATTTCATGGATAACTAAGATAAGAAAACTCAGCCTCACCCTGGGTAATCCTCAGGTATTTTATTTTGACTAGAAGGCAAGGAATAAGAAAGAGAGTAAGATAAGGAAAAATAAGAATGCTGCAATTGTGCCTTTGGAGTATGCATATCTTCAGAAGTTAGTTATGAACCCTAAAAATACTTTAGGATTCCTTATGGAGCTCTGTCTTGTAAATTGTGCATCTATCAGGATTTTTACTTTTGTGTGCTGTCCAGTGTAATTCTATGCAGTTGGCAGTGTTTTCTGCCTTTACCGTCCAGCATGGGCCAGATGCCTACTGAGCATTGGCCATATCACTAGCAAGACTGACAAATGGAATTTTTAATGGGTCTTAATTTATCCTATATAATAAAAGGGTAATGTACAAATCAACTGAACATTGGAACGACTGGTTGCTATGGCGTGCAATGACCACCAGGAGGCAGATGCTCAATGCATGAGCTGCCCCCTGGTGGTCAGTGTGCTCCCACAGGGGAGCACTGCTCAACCAGAAGCTGGGCTCATGGCTGGTGAGTGCAGCTGCGGTGGTGGGAGCCTCTCCTGCCTCCAGAGCAGCACTAATGATATCCAACTGCCGGCTTAGGCCTGCTCCCCCTAAGCGGCCTAAGCCAGCAGTTGGATATCCCCTGAGGGCTCCTGGACTTTGAGAAAAAAGGCACAGGCCAGGATGAGGGACCCTTCCACCCCCGACTCTCCACCCCCCACCCAGTGCTTGAATGTTGTGCACCTGGCCTCTAGTTTAAATATAAATAGCCATATGTGGCTCGTGGTTTTTCTTATGGGCAGGATAGGTCTGCATTGCTCAGATTTGACTCTCTTAAATCAATTACTCAGGAAGGTGTCAGTAGACAGTGACTTAGGTTCAAAAAAAGTCCATTACCCACTTAAAGAAATTGTGGTGCTGAACTGAGGCTGATGCGAATCTCTATGACAAGTTTGCTATAAATATTATGATACAATACTAAATTACTATACACAGTTAATATTAATTTTTCGCATTCTGGTTTTCTATGATGCTGTTTAATATTGCCCCCTTTTGGTTGTATTCTGGAACAACGAAATTAAGATTAGAATCTGTAAAATCACTTCTACCATCTAGACTAGCAGTTTTCAACTTTTTTCATCTCATGGTACACATAAAATAGTTACTAAAATTCTGCAGCACACCAAAAAATGTTATATTTTTTGCCAATCTGACAAAAAAAAAAGATAGGTATAATTTTGATTTATTCACATAGCATGACTATTGTTGCATTGGCTGTTGTAATTTTTTTTTTTTTTTCATTTGACAATCTTAAGGCAGGGATGGGGAACATAGGCCTACAGGCCATATAAGGCCTGAGAAATCATTTGATGTGGCCCTGCCAGAGTATTAGGGGTGAGTTAAATGTTTGACCAAATACAACAGACTAATTTTTATGTTGATAATTTTGTATGACCTGCAAATGCTGTTATAAATATCCAAATGGCTCTTGGCAGTAAAAAGGTTCCCCACCCCTGCTCTAAGTGAGAAGAGGTCAGTGTCCCTAACTGAACAGTCAGGTATTGCATGTTTTAAAAATTCTGTGACACACCGGTTGAAAATTGCTTATTTAGATGATGCTAAATTGTGCAGAATATGGCTCACTCATTAGTGATTGGGAACTTGTGGTTAATCAGATGTCTGTGTTTGTAGGGAGTTGCTGTATAGATTACCAGTTTCAAAGAATTGAAGCATAATAAAAACATTTAGGTAGAAGGTTTTATTTCTTTTGATTTCTCTTTATTGACTAGGCTCTGTTATTGACTTTTGCAACTGCTCTGAGCGTCCCAATGCCTGTGGGTGAGTGGGTGCTGCTGAGGGCTGTCCTCGAAGAGATCACTAGATAGCAGATTTCATCACATGCAGTCTTCTTTAGGAATGACTTTAATCCATTGCTTTTACAGTTGCACCCAAGAATTGATGCCCGGAGAGCTGATGAAAACCTTGGAATGCTTCTTGTAGAATTTTTTGAACTCTATGGAAGAAATTTTAATTACTTGAAAACTGGTATTAGAATAAAAGAAGGAGGTGCCTATATTGCCAAAGAAGAGATCATGAAAGCCATGACCAGCGGGTATAGACCTTCGATGCTGTGCATTGAGGACCCCTTGCTGCCTGGTAATGACACTTTGCTCTGAACTTGCCCCAAGCGATGTGGGGGCATTCCTACCCTGGTGCACTGGTGTGGTGGTGGTGTATCCTCAGGCTCTGGGAGCCAAGGGCAGTTCATTAGGACTCCTGCTGTCCTGTTAATAGTGACAATCTATAATTCCTTATTTAATACTTCTAATTACTTATTGCAAAGTTTCAATTTTATTTACATTCTGTAGTCAACTAGAAATATGTAGGTGGTGAAAATTAAGAAAAGTTTAATATTTTATTATAAAATTACATATTTATTATAAACCATTTAATTCCCAGAAGTATGTGGTAGAGAAAAAGCAAAGTATGCCATTCTCCCCTCCCATTTTGGTGTATATTTTTCCCATTTTGTTTTTTTATATATATTGCAACCTTATCAGTTAAATGGCATAATACAAGCAGATTTGCAACTTGTTTTTTACTTAACAGTGTATCCAAGATCCCCCTTTTTATTTGTGTAGGGTCTGTTCTGTAACAAGGAAGGATTGCTAGCCACCTTGAAGAACCTGAAGCAGGTCTCCAGTTTTTCAGTTTTATTCCTTTTATTGTTTTTAAGGGTGCTCATATTCCCAACCTTTGTGACAGTCTTTTAAGTTTTTGCCAATCTGATAAAATAAATTTTCATTTAATTTACATTTCTTTAATGATAGTGAGGTTAAGCACATTGTTATTTATCAATTCCACAAATGTTTATTGAGCATCTATTAGGTGAGACACTGTTCTTACTGTTGGTGATAAAGTCAGTGACGGACAGGTGACAGAAAAGGTGGTGGAGATGTCAGCTCCAGGTACACTGCCCCTTTGTATGTCTTTTATGTGAGTTCATGTGCTTTGTCATGTGTCTGCTGGACTGCTCCCTTACCGATTTTGTGAGACCGTGTAAATTAGGGAAGCCTTTCTTTGTTGTACATGCTGTACTTTTATCCCAGTTTGTCATTTGCACCTGGATTTATCTTTATTGTTGAAAATGTTACATATGTCCTCCTTTTTCCCCCATTGACCCCCTCCATCCCACACCTGCCCTCCCCCCAGGCCTTTACCTCATTACTGTTTGTGTCCATGGGTTATGCATATACAGTCTTTGGATTTGGTATTTTTTATTGTTTAGCTTCTATATATATTTTTAATATCCTCATATTTAATGTTTTTTTATGGCTTTTGGGGTATGACATTTATTTCTTAAAATTTTTTTTTTAAAGAAAACATACTGACTCTTCTGTTGTTCATAAATGCCGTTATTTATGCCATGTCTTTTCAATAGTGATTTTCCCGGCAGCATGGTGTGGCAAGTTTTCATCATCTGTCCATGTTTATAAGTTAAACACAGAATAAGTTAAACATTGTCTTCATTGTTTGCTAAAATGTACTTGAAAAACAAAACCTCCACTCTATCACTAGGTTATCCTATATAATAATCATATATAATAAAAGGGTAATATGCAAATTGATCGTAAGGGCAGGATGATCTGGAATGACCAGTTGCTGTGACGTGCACTGACCACCATTGATGCAGATGCTTAACGCAGGAGCTTCCTCCTGGTGATCAGTGCGCTCCCAGAGGGGGAGCTCTGCTCAGCCACAAGCATGGCTGGCAGCCGTGAGCACAGTGGGGGTGGGAGCTTCTCCTGCCTCCTCAGCAGTCAGACATTCCCTGAGGCTTCCGGACTGCGAGAGAGCGCAGGCTGGACTGAGGGAACCCCTTCCACTCCCTCTTCTCCCCACAGTGAATGAAATTCATGCAGTGGGCCTCTACTATTACATAATTAAGTGTGAAAAGAAGATATTCCAATACTCAAAATACCGCTTCTAAAAAAAAAAAATCCTTACCTGACTTGTGAAGAAATTTCATGTAAATTAAAGTTAAGGTTAAGCCCCTTGACTATGACTTGCTTGTAACTTCAGTGGCAGCTTTATTTGATTTACTGCCCAACACCCAGAGTTCAGACCTGGAACATTCTATCCAAGAGGATTTGCTCTGCAGGCCTCAGGTTAACTGCCTGCTACATCAGTGTGCTCTCAGTCAGTGGGATGGCAGCCTGAGTCAGGTTGCTACTTTGGCTCACTTGTGTTTTTTGCCTCCTGGGGAGTTACTTGACTTTTTCATAAACTCACTCTGTCTCTGTGAGTGACATCTCTGTTCATGGAGGTAGACTCTGATCTGATGATGCAGATCAGGCCCCTCAGCTTGAGAACAACGTGGGATGCCATATGGTGATTAAGGTGTGTTTGCAGGTGTCTGATCTGGCTTAGCTCTTGGGATCTGGATATGTTTGAGTGGTGAGGGCCTGATTGAGAATAACTTTATATGAAAAAATAAAAAACGTCAATTATGGCTCAAATGTTTGGTAGAGTTTTACAGCTGCCTTTCTGTTTCAGGAAATGATGTTGGCCGGAGCTCCTATGGGGCCATGCAGGTGAAACAGGTTTTTGATTACGCGTACATTGTACTCAGTCATGCTGTGTCACCGCTTGCGAGGTCCTATCCAAACAGAGATTCGGAAAGGTAACAGAAGTCATTAGATACCTTTGTTGGGTTCACAGCTGAGGGCATGGTCCTCACACCCTTATGAGCCTCTGTCATTTGTTTCCATGAAGTTTTCTAATGTATGTGCCATCAAATTTTAGTAAAATTTGAAAATATCAGTACAGGAAGACCTTTTAGGAACTCAGGATGGCTCTACTTGACTCATCCAAGGATAAGAGTTGAAATTTTCTTATTTGAGGAATTAGTGTTTTTTTCCCCCTAGAATATTTTGTTTTGGGGAGGTGATTCTTGGCTTTTAAAACTTTGGAACATGATGCTTTTTCTTGAGGCAGTCTTCAAAATGTTGGGTAGTCAACTCTACAGGAATGTGTATCTCAGTCTCCATGCTCCACCCCTTCTCTCTTAGGCACAACTATCCATCATTCTCCATTCTGGAATACTTATAATATATACTTATTTCTAGTGAGAAAAAATTATATCTGCAGATTATGCTGTTGTGGTGGAGTGGTGGGATTGGGGGACAGAAAAAGGGAAGTGAGAACAGGGGATGGAAAGAAGAATGGTGTGATTGTCACAAATGGTAGTTGAAAGTGCCATTGATTCTCTGTTCCTTAGGCGAGTTATGGGATACATAGGATTGGAGGCCCCACGCTGGTGGTGGTAGACCTTCATGGGTTTTGTGGCCTCAGTCAGCACTTTGGGGCCCTATGGTAGATATACTATCTCCCCATTCTCACTGTGCAGGGGAAGTGGGAATTTCACACCTACGTGATCATGGCAGGTGGGAGGGTATACTTCCCTACTTAAACATTGGATTTAAATAGTCTTTTTCAGATCAGTTAGGTTCAAGAACTTCTACATAAGTGAATCCACTTTTACTCAACTCTGATCTCAAAGTACATTTAGGCTCAAACATCAGAAGTCATGTATTTTTAAAAATTATTTTATTAAGTAGCCAGTTCATAGCTTCACAGTCCTGTTGTGCTATGTTAATGTCCTTCCATGTCCTTTTATAGTACTTTAGGAAGAATCGTCAAGGTAACTCAGGAAGTGATTGACTATCGGCGGTGGATCAAGGAGAAATGGGGCAGCAAGGTCCACCCAGCTCCCGACCTTGGTGAGAAATTCAGTCAGTCACCTTTCACCTTCTGACCACTCATGCAGGAGTATCTCTTTGTTCCTCCCTGGGACGTTGTTCACACTAAGAAAAATACCCAGTTTTTCTTTAAGAGTTTAATTTAAAACTATAAGACAGGCTAGCACTATGCAGAAGAAATGTGTGCCACATGGAATATTAAAAGTTTCTAATAACTGCCTTAAAAATGTAAGACAGGTGAAATTAATTTTGATAATATGATTTATTCAATTTAGTGTTCAAATATTAACATTTCAAAATGTAATCAATATAAAAATTATTGAGATATTTTGGAACCTTCTTTCATACAAGATCTGAAATCCAGTGTGTATTTATATTTATAGCACATCCCAATTAGCATGTTAAATTTCCATCAGAAATACTTATCTGTATTTAGATTTCATAAAATGTGTAGTTGAAAACTCTTTACATAGCAAGTTATTTCAAATATATTTAAATGTTTTCTAATAAATAGAATATAATTTTTAAAATTAAATAAAATTAGAAATTCAATTTGTCAGCCTTATTAGCATCATTTTAAGACTCAGTCACTTCAGTGGCTGGTGGTTGTGCCACATGTCTGCACTCCTAGAAAATGACTCACCTAGGTTGTGTTTTCCTTCCACAGACAATAGAATTAAGATAAAAGAGCGAATAAACGCATGTGATGGGGAGCAGCCCCAGTGCCGAGACCCAGAGCCACCCTACAGCCAGCACCTGACCTTGTCTCTGCCCTGCCCTCAGCTTCTCTCCTCGGGATCCTCTGCGTCTTCCGTGTCTTCACTTTCTGGAAGTGATATTGTGAGTGTGTCGGCTGGGAGGTCTGTGCCTGTGGAAAACATCTATAGCAGAGAGTTTTTATCACCCCCTTTGTGTATGTGAGACCACCGTAGGTCTGCAGTGAGTAGTCCCCCTCTGCTGTGAGCCTCAGTTTCAGTGGCCCCTTGTGAACAGTAATGCCACTGACGGTAGAATTACAGTGGACTTCCTTGAATAGTTTTTTAACAATTTACTTGGAAATAAGACGATTAAGTCTAGGCATTCTTTCTGTATTTCCTTTACATTTTCCTTCAGTTTTGAAATGAAGCAAATGTGAGCAGCTTTGGGCTGCTTGTTGAGCAGCAGTAATGGACGGATTCTAGCAACCTTGCATAGCAAGTATGCTGCATGCATTTCTTTCGGGACCTTAAGTAGTCACCTCTGTACAGCCCTCCCTGTTCTTTTGCTCACAGGATTCCGACACCCCGCCCTGCACAACACCCAGCATTTACCAGTTCAGTCTGCAAGCACCCACTCCCCTACTGGCCAGCTTGCCCACCGCCTTGCCCATGCCAAGTGGCAAGCCTCAGTCCACTACTTCCAGAACATTGGTCATGACAACTAACACTCAGGTATGTGGCCACTGGTGCCTATCCTGTGATGGGTCCGTGGGAACTGTCTAGGAGTGGTGACACTTTGATTTAGGAAAAGAACTTTAAAGGTCTTTGGAAGGTACATTTCTGTCTCATAGGAAATTATCCTCATTTGTGGGTCCCATAGAATATAACTCTTGTCATTCTTTACATCGATACCCAGTGTGAGACCACTGTTCTGGGGTTGTATCAGAGAGAAGGAATGATGCTTTCCTCAGGCAGAAATGGACACTTGTCCCTGTTTCCTCTGAGAATCACAGAGTTTACACTCTTACCAATAGACACTTTGGCTATTTCACATTGTTTTCACACAGGCAGTATTTATAGGACTTTGGCTATTAGAATATGTTCTCTCTCTTTTAAATTTAGATAAAATTAGAAGTCTGAAAGACAATATCCAAAATACTAAATTTTGTTCCCAATTATATATCAGTTGAATATGTATATGTATAAAACCCATCACATTAATTTACTTAAAAGAGTAAAGCCAGTTTCTCCAGTGTGGTTATAATTGAGTGGAAAGTGACATAGATACATGCCATCACTCTTGAGGTCTGTAGAGCAAAGGACTGTAAGATGTTAGTAGTGCAGTTTTGGAAAGTCTGAGGAGAGGGCTTCACGCCAGCACTTTGTGCTGTGACGAAACGGTGATGCAGAAATAGGAGCAGTTCTCAACTACGGAGGAGGGGCAGAGGCTGCCTGCCTCGGCGGCGGCTGTTTTCAGAGATTCAACGGCAGTTAATCTGATAGCTGTGGTTTTTGAATTGTTATTTGGTCTTAATAAATATTGAAACGTTCTGACTTGGGTTGCTAGGTCTACTTCATACTGTGATTGCTGTTTCAGAACATAAATGTTTTTGATTTAGAACAAAATCTTGGGAGGTTCTAGTCAAACAAAAACCGGGCCCTGGACCTGGAATGGTTGACCTGCATTGGCTCTGCGCCTAATGGGTGTCTCTGGTGGTTCTTTCTCTAGACCAGGTTTACTATACCTCCGCCGACCCTGGGCGTGGCCCCCATTCCTTGCAGACAAGTTGGTGTTGAAGGAACTTCCGCACTGAAGGCCGTGCACCACATGTCTTCCCCGGCCATTCCATCTACATCTCCTAACCCGCTCTCCAGCCCTCATCTGTATCATAAGGTAGGTCTCCTGTCCGGTCCAGTCCCCTACCACAGCAGGTTCATGATAGGTGGCACTAATTGTTGCCTCTGCCAAAGAGAGGATTCCAGAGACTTTAAAGTGTGTGTGTGTGTGTGTGTGTGTGTGTGTATTTAAAATGTATTTTTATTGATTTCAGAGAGGGAAGGAAAGGGAAAGAGATCTCCTGGGGTTTGAGCTTTTAACTCAGACGTGTCCTTGACCGGGATTGAATCCTGGACCCTTCAGTCCGCAGGCGGACATTTGATCCACTGAGCCAAACTGGCCAGGACTCTAGAGACTTTTTAAAAGGGAATTTTTTTTCTGATCCTTCAGCTTCATGTTTGCTTTCCCTTATAACAAAACTTTAAAAGTGTTAAGAAATTATTTTACAATTTATAGCTTAATTCCTTTCCAAATATATTTCTCTTAATTTGTCTAGTGAAATTTTTAGCATAAAATTGAAGTTTGAAATAAGATTTGAAGTGAAGAATATTTTGTTTTTCCCATGTATCTATTAATTTATGTGCTAAAAACTTTGGTTTTCAAGAAGCGAATAGAATCTATAACAAATATTGATGCAGCTCCTTGTAGTGCTTTTTATTCCCACAGCATCACTCCCTGTGCAAGAGGGCGAGGTGGGCTGGCAGGGCCCAAAGTTCATTTGCTTTCTAGGCCCTAGGGTCCCTGCCAATGCCCTTCTCCATTTCCCTGTGGTTCATCCAAGTCCAAATCCCACACATTAGAAACTGTTGAGTAATAAGAAAACAATCCATTGTGAAGTTCCTGTGCTCGTGAAGTGCCCAGGTGTTTGAAAGAGCTGTGACCGGCATCTTCCAGTAGAAACAGGGAATAGTGTCTGAGGCCAATGTTTTCTTGGACCCTCATGGGCTGTATTTGCTACATTTATCACTGTCCCCCATCACTCCAGCCAGATCTTTTGTTGCTTAGGCTTGCAGGAGCTGAGATGGGCAAGTCTCCCATGACAGTGGTGTCTCTTGTTCCCAAGCCACCCTTCATTGTGCTGTTTCTCTTTATCTCTTCAGCAGCACAGTGGCATGAAGCTGGCCATGAAAGGCTCTCACAACCACAGCCAAGGTGGCAGCTACAGCTCTGTGGGCAGTGGAGGTGTGCGACCCCCTGTGGGCAACCGAGGACACCACCAGTATAACCGCACCAGCTGGAGGAGGAAAAAACACACGCACACGAGGGACAGCCTGCCTGTCAGTCTCAGCAGATAATAGCTCCTGGTGGCACCTCCTGGCCATCACTCTTCTGAGACTGACCCGGGTGGCCTCGGCGCCTGGCAGGAACTGAGACCAGCATCCAGCACATCAGCCGGGCCTCTCAAACGCCCGCCGCTGATCACTCTGCATGTTCCTTGTGTGGTGGTCACGTCCATCTTAAAGAACAGCTCCTTGTGCTCATCTGTGAAGCCTTATCCACGTGGACGCTGTTTTCTGCCTTCCCAGGATCCTTCCAGAAGCAGGTCTGGACCTGGAGCTGCAGGGGGTGAAGTCGGCTTGGGCGTTTGTTTCTCAGCCGTGTCTGTTCCTTCGAGGTTGGGTGTTTTCATTTTACGTTTGTTAGAGCCACAGAGATCAACCCTGTATCGGCTCTTCTTTGGCAGATGGATGGAGGTCACATTGTTTTATTGCCCTCATGTTTTGTTTCAAGTTTCAGAACTGTTTTTCTATGTAAATATTGAAAACTTATCATTTGTGCAATAACTCAGATTTTTTTATTTAATTTCCTATTTTCACATAAGTTATATTTAAGGGAAGAGGGAATTTTTTTAAACAAGCTTAGGTCCTTTCCCAAGTTGCTTTTCTAAGTTGGGTTCATAGAGTCGGCTGGTTGTTTGGTGAGCACTGTTGCAAACACCATGAGTGAGGGGCTTAGGTTTATTTTTATGTTTATTCTTTGGGTCAGAGGGGAAGCCTCTCAATTTGTGGTGAAGGAGCCAAGTTGCCCCCTAGTTTTCTGAAGGGGTTTGGCCCCCGATCAGCTGCCTGCCGGTTCTGCCGTCCAGCCTGCCTATTGTCTCGCTCTGACCATGGAGTTTTAACGTTTTGGTTTTTGGTTCTTTTAAACTAGACAACAAATCCAGCATTTAAAGTGCCAGAAGTATAACTTTCTAAGGGGAGAAGAGGTTGTCACATTATAAAATCAAAAAAAGAAAAAAAGAAAAAAAAAATGTGAACTACATGCTTCAGTCAGCTTTAGTAATAACAGCCTGTAATGATGGGGCTGGTGAGGATCATGACGGACAATGGCGCCCAGTTTAGGAATGTGGAGAAAGGAATTATGTTGATTCCATTGAGGAATCTGTGTAGCAGTATGCATTCGTTCTGTTAAGAGCAAATATAGGAAAAGTACTTCAGCTGCTCAGCAAATATAGGAAAAGTGCTTCAGCTGCTCAGCGCGCTGTGGGGAGTATTCCTAATGCATTGCAGGAGAGCACAGCCCAGTGTGGGGCTGGGAGGGCTGGCGCCCGACTTGAGAAGCATACAGGTATACTATGCAAGTGTATTCTGCCATGACAACCACTGTCTTTGTTACCTTTTTTTGAACAAGAATATTCATCCTGCCTAACCCTGAGTTTTTGAAGCACCACAGTTGTCCTGGGAGTTAGCTGCATCTCATAGGTCTGACTTCCCATTTCTAAAGTGGGGTATTGACCCTGCTGAATACTAAAGGGAGGTTGGCCTTTGGAATCTACCCACTGAACACTAAAGGGAAGTTGGTCTTTGGAGTCCACTAGTGGAGTATGTTGAGACAAGAAACGTATTACCATGACACCTGATTGATATGTAGAGTGATATCTGAATGTGATGGACACCCAGCAAGGACAAGCTTTAAAATGTCTACGTCTGTTTGGTTTTAAGCAGGACTGGCCCATATTATCATTGAGAGCTGCCAGCTGTGACTGCAGCTTCCCTAGGAGGCATTCCAGAATAGAGTAGCACATTTTGTCTACAGTTCTTAATGATCGAAAGATATCAGAATATTTAAAGATATTTAAATTGTAAACCTATTGATAAAGAGATATTTATAAAACTGATATGTAGGTCTGTACTAATCTCTACATATTAGCAATATTGACTGTAACCCTATACACTAAGGACACCACTGCGGGGACGATGGCCAATGTCCCCTGGGTGCCCATTTTAAAGCTCGATTCACACACACAGGTGCCATGCTCCACCCCGTCATGGTGAACAAATGAATTGGCCTGGCTACCACTGTGGTCACAAAGGATATCATGTTTCAATTTTTTTTGTGTGCAGACAACAATATGAAGCTAAATGGACATATTTTTATGTAAAGTTTTTCTATTCTTTGATTTTTAATAAACTTTGGAAACCATGTAGTGTTTGAGTGTGAACTTTCAAGGGGAAAGGTGCTTTCTACAGTTTCACATTTTGAGATTTTCTAAATTTAGGCAATGGAAAATGATTTTATCCATTGGTTTAGCAAATTCAGAACTTAGTTGAGGTTCCAAATTATGGATGAAAAAATCAGAATTGGAAGAGTGCTTTCATGCTGTGCTGATGCAGGCTCAGTCAAACCATTCAAGTGATACTATGTCTGCGGGATACTATGTACTTAGACTCCCCAATGAAATGTTTCTTCATTTATATTACTTAAACATATGGCACATTTTAAGCTGTCAAGTGACAATGTATTTTGAAATGTAACATGCGTAGACTTTAAAAGGAAGTTTATCAAAATCTTTACAAACCAGTGAGTGACAACTAATTGCCTCAGGCTACATGGCCCCTTTGTGTGTCCAGAGCGATTGACCATGTGGTGAAGGCAGGTGTCCCTGGAGCACTGCACATTCAGTCAGTCCTTCCAGAGAAGGTTTCTGGGGGTGCTCTGAGCAGGTGCTGCTGGAGACCCCTGAGGCCCCTCCTCACAGCACTGCATTCCGCAAGGTCGCAGGAAATGTCAGTGTGCCCGAGAAAGTGCGGGGGCTGGAGGCAGTGACCTGTGCTGATGCGTGTGCATGGATGGTAGCCTCTCTGGGCTCAGGAAATGGGAGTTCCTGTTGGACTGGGGTTTCATGGTCAGTGTTTATAAGATGTTGGCCCTCATCAAGACGACCTGAAAAGTGTGCTGTGATTGTTTCCAGTGCACTAACCTCAGCATCTGGTCGCTTTCCGACATTCCTCACCCACATAAGGCTGTTAGGCTTCCTGTTCTGTCCCTGTCCCCCAGCTGCCTCCTCCAGCTACATGGCCCATGCTTCACAAACCTGCAGCCCCTCGTGGTAAAGACTCGCACTTGCTGTCTCTCAACTGATGGTCCTGGCAAGACCCCAATCCTGGGTTCTGGCCCCTGCTACTCCCTCACCCTACAGCCTGTTTGCAGGGTAAGGCAGGGGAAGGAATACTGGGGGCTTGAGCCAAGACCTTGTAGGTGGCACCACTGAGATGAGGCCGACGTTGGTAAAGGCTTAATGACTGCCCAGTCCCATGGCACAGGTATGGTTCCCAACTCCAGGTGAGTAAACTGAGGCACAGGGAGGTTAAGAAACTTGGCCTAGGTAATTCAATGAGGGTCAGAGCAGAGACAGGACACATTTCCTCTGTGTCCCTTTTACAGGGGTTGCTTTTAAAAAAAAATATATATATATATTTTATTGATTTTTTTTTTTTTACATAGAGGAAGAGAGAGGGATAGTGAGTTAGAAACATGGATGAGAGAGAATCATCGATCAGCTGCCTCTTGCACAACCCCTACTGGGGATGTGCCTGCAACCAAGGTACATGCCCTTGACGGGAATCGAACTCTGGGACCTTTCAGTCCGCAGACCATTGCTCTATCCACTGAGCCAAACCGGTTTCGGCGCCAGTGACTGCTTTTATCTCCCACTTTGTCCACACTCCCTCATCCCTCCGTTCTCATTTCTCTTGGCCATTGGCCTTGGCTCCCCTGTCAGCAAGGAAGCTCCTCTGTGCTGCTGCTTCCTGGCAGCCCGAAATCTTTGAACTCCCCTCGTGAATGAGGCCTGTGCGCCCCTCCTCATCTGTGCAGCCCTGGGCTTGTCCCAGCACCCCATCCTTGCCGCTCCAGGACACCACACTGCCATCCAGCCAGCCTTCAGTTCTCACCTCAGGGTAGCACTGGCCTGGGGTTGCAGGGGAGCACCCAGGCTGTACCTCCAACCCCCGGACAGCAGTGGCCGCGTTATGGAGATGGCAGTGGCTACCTGCTGTGGGCCACATGTCCCTCCCATGGAGAATGCTTGCCCTCGGAATGCTTGCCTCTTAAATGCTCAATTGAGAGGCAACAGGACTTATTTATTTTGTAACATACTATTAGTCATGCATGTACCAATACTCGTGTAAAATACAATAAAATGAATTAACTCGAAAAGTGAAATGAAAATCCTGGAGATAACAGCTCACGTTGTTACTGGATTGGACAGACCCCAACCGTGCTGTGGGTTACAGGTCTCTGCTTCCCATTAGCACCCATATCTCTGAGTGGCCACAGCTGGAGTTCTGGAGCCCACTTGGCCCCACACTCTGGCCAGCAGCTTCCACAGGCTCAGTCCTCTCCAGGCCACCCCCTTGGGGAGCATTCCTCCTGCGCCCTGGGAACTAATGACCCATGGATCTCAGGCCCCAGGACAGCCCTTAGCCACCACACTGTCTGTGCTGATTCCTTCCTGTGGGTGGCTAGTGGGAACCCACAGTGCACCATTGTTCTTGACAAAGTGATTCTAAGACCTGTGGGTGTGTCTCCAAAGAGGTATGGCTGCCCTGGCCCCTCGTCCAAAAATGTGAATTCATTGGTGCAGACAGAGCTGCATCCAGGGAACTCTACGCCTTGATGATTCTCCTGCGGAGAGCCACTGCCAGAACGCACCATTTTTTCTATTTCTGTGCTGCCTCAGAAACGGATGTTTTCCTTTGCTGCCATGTGCATGTAACCGTGCCACTCTTACATACAGTGCCTCGTCAGTTCTCTTCTATTTCATGAAACAACTAAACGTTGATGAGGGCAGGGAGAGTCGCCTTGGAGAGACGTTAGAGTTAGAGCTGGCAGAGCCTGCCTTCCTCCAGGTCTCCCAGCCCCCTCTGCTGCTTCTCCAGAGGCCCTGATGAGTGGGATCCACGTGCCCTTTGGCTGGAGGTGACTGCATGGTCAGAGTCTAAGTGTTGCTGCACTCTGTCCCGGGTGCAGCACAAAGAGCAGCTGGGACATGTTTGGGGCTGGTCTCCCGCTCTTTATGCCCTGAATTTCCAGTTCATTGTGAAGTTTGAGAAGTCGAGGTCTGGTGCAGGCAAGGGTGTCTGCCTACGTGTAGGAGGTCTCCACCTGTGTGACCCACCCCTCGCAGGGCACAGGGTGAGTGTTGGCAGGTATTGGGCGGGGGTGTGTTTTTTTCTGTCCATCTTTTCTGGGGCTAGCTTCTTTGTCTATGTCCATGGGGTCCCTCCTCCCCTTAGAGCCACATGGAGGGGTCTAGATGGTTGTTTTTCTCTTATCTAGTGTTGTGCCCAGACTCTTCAATGCCAAATAATTTTTTAAAATAATATCTATCATGGTAAGAAAGTATTTCTTCAGTGAGCTTTCTGAGTTGTGTGTGTGTGTGTGTGTGTGTGTGCATGTGTGGGTTCCTCACAGGCTCAGCACCATGCTGGACACCCAGACCTTGCTGGACAAAGGTTTAAGGGAGGAAACCTGCTTCCCCAGCTCTGGAATCACATGCCAGATAAAGTCTGGAGCAAATACACTGCAAAACTTCAGTGAATTAAAAAAAAAAAAATGTGTAGAAAAAAGCAGCAGGAAATAGAGTCGTCAAGACTCCAGATTTATTTTTTGGAGAAATTGGAATCTAGATGGTTCTAACATTTTTTTTTAAAAAGGTGTTTTGTCCTTTCAGCTGAAGTATAGCCTATTTGATTGTCCCCACCCCAGAGGGACACTAGCACAGGAGTGTTTGTTTGTTTGTCTTGACAGAGTGCCTGCCAATCAATCAGCATAGGAGGAAGAAAAGTTGGAGTCAGGAGGAAGCCAGATAATTGCCAAGAATTTGTTTTGTTGTTCTGCATTGTTTCATTTCATTTCACCTCAACTTCCTGGGTGGGTGTGTCTGCTGCCCAGTCTGCCTCTCTGGCAGGTGCATAGGCCTCCATCCTTTCCTGCTGCTGACTGTTCTGGAAATCTGCCCTTGACTCTCCTTCAGGAGGTTCTGGCTGCTCCTCCGAGTACAACCGAGAGAAGCCAGGGGGCGCTCTTGTCTCATGAGCAGATTTTCTCATCCTGGGAACTTCCTGGCTGGTGGGTCCCCCTTTCCTGCAGGGGTTGCAGGTCTGCACATCAGCAAAAGGCAGTAGGTTCCCTTCCCCAGAGAGGGGGGGCTTTGAGGTAGGCTGCAAATTAAGTTAGTATTTGAAACAACTTGTGCTCAGGTTTAAAAAATAACAGAGAAATAAGGCTGCATTTTTTCTTATGGGGGAAAAAAGAACTATCTGTAAAATCCCAACAGTGACAACATGGTGCCCATCAGCTCTGTGGAGGGGGCGGGTACCCAAATGGGTGAAATCAAACTCCACCCTTCCTGCAGAACCTGCAGGCAGACTGTTATCAGGATCCTTACGTGCTGGGAGGGACCTGCAGGACCTGCCCCCAGGGCGCCCTTCTTCCACAGAAGGACTCAGACTGGGAGCCGCAACAGGAGCTGCGTGTGGGTTGAGGACCAGGGTCCTGTCCCATTGCCCTCCCTCATTGGCCATGGGATCTCCTGTAAGGCCACGGCCACCTTTCTCAGTTCTTACCCAGAACTGGGGGAGCAAAAGCATTTTGTACACGGCCAGCTCCTCTGCAGGCACCACCACCGCAACCTTCTCCTCTGACCTCGGCCTTCTGGGTACAGGCTTCCTCGCCTTCCTTTTCTCCTCTAACCACTCCCCTCCCTGGGCCTCCCTGTCCATCACCTTGGCACTGGCCTCC